GGTTGAGGCGGAAGGATCACCGGAGCCCAGCGGGTTGAGGCTGCGGTGGCTGGGAGCGGCCACTGAACTCCAGTCTGGGCGACAGAGTGAGACTCCAACTCAAAAAAAAACCAAAAAAAAAAAACGTAAAGGAGACTTCTAACTCACTATGAGTTTTTTAATATATGCAACTTATTCTTTGTGGTGTAAATATAACTTCAAAAATGTGCGTGCCTGTTTGCCGTGCCCTAATTTTAAACTGTCATTCATAAATGTGTCTGTACTGGCTATGTGGATATTATTTCATGCTTTTTACTTGGAGTAGAGAACATATCTGGGTTCTCTACATGGTTCCAGTCATCATGTAAATTAGATCCTGTTCTCTTCAATCTCTCCTTTCACCTAGAATAATAGAAATTCTGCCCATGGCCATGTGGTAGATATACGTTGTTGTTTTCAGGGACTGTTGACATTCAAGGATGTGGCCATAGAATTCTCTCCGGAGGAATGGAAATGCCTGGACCCTACTCAGCGGATTTTGTACAGGAATGTGATGTTAGAGAACCACAAAAACCTGGTTTCCCTGGGTGAGGAGAATTTCAACATATACTTTCTATTTTATACTAAGGTTTTCATGTCTTTCTTTTGTATAAGATTTTGGGGAGTTTCTGTTTTGCATGTATGAGTTTCAGATGCCTGTTATTAAGGAAACCTTGATGATTGTTGACTTTTTTACATGCATATTTTTCTTTTTTTTGTTCCCTTGAGAAGTAGTTTACTGTAAAAGTTTTTCTTTTTTGAACTAATCTGTATCCTTCAATATTAGTGATACGTTCAGAGATTTAATTGCATAAGATATTGTTTCCCACAACTTTTTGCTACCATCGATTATTGATTCACTATTCAGTACTACTGGGCAGTAGAGCTAAGGACCCACACATTTAACATACTTCCTAAATATTCTAAAGTTTCTGTTGGAAAACAGTATTTTTGGATTGATTTTCTGAAATCTTATATAATGTGCTCATTATTGAACACAGTACTAGATTGGAAATTGGTGAATCCCAGCAAAAGTCATGTTACTCTCTTCTAATAACATAGGCCTTGCATTCTCCAAGCCGGACCTGATCACATGTCTGGAGCAAAGGAAAGAGCCCTGGAATGTGAAGAGACACAACACATTACCCAAACCCGCAGGTAGGTGGGAGTAAGTGAAGCTGATGACAGGTCAAGAAGGAAGCAGGGACTGAAATGTGGTTTGGGAAGGTGATCTGCTCCAATGAAAATGGTTTCTGAGAAGCCTGGCTTTTTTTTTCCCCCCTTGCCTTCACATAAGGACATCTATTGTTCCATGCCCTGAAATTCTCCAAAAGCTCTACTTTTCCCCAGTAAAATCTCCTTTCAAGGTTACAGGGGACATCAAAGTCTTTATAATGGTTCATAAGGGAGTGTAGGATCTGACTGCTCTTTTGTTGTTTTGGGGACATGGGAATATCTGCTTATTTTTTAGAAACTTCATATTAAACTATTTTTTTTGTTTCTCTTTTTATATCATGTCTGAAGTATGTGAGAGTATTGGTAATTTTGTTAGTTGGTTGAGACATTCTGGACACAGCATGGCAGATGTTGTATGTTTTCTGCTTTATTATTTCCTATCCTAAGGAGGTTTCAAATCTGACCGTATAGGAATTCATACTCAATAATTTTACCAGAACACAAACCATCTCGTTAAGTATAAAAAGACCTAATTTATTTTCCTTTAAAAGGTTATTTTTCCTTTTTTTTTTTTTTTTTGAGTTGGAGTGTCACTCTGTCGCTCAGACTGGAGTGCAGTGGCATGCTCCCAGCCACCGCAGCCTCCACCTGCTGGGCTCTGGCAGTGCTTCCACCTCAGCCTTGCAAGTAGCTGGAACTAAAGGCGTGCACTACCACACCCAGCTAATTTTTTGATTTATTGTAGAGATAATGTCTCGCTAAGTTGCCCAGGCGGGTCTTGAAACCGTGGGCTCAGGCAATCCACTGGCCTCAGCCTCCCAAAGTATGGGATTATAGGCTAAGCCACCAAGCCTGGCTAAAATGTTATTTTTCAATATGAACTGAGGTTGGTAGTTTAAACTGTTCATCCTCAGATTTCTTGAGTATATATATCACTGAGAACATTGGTAAATATATTAAACTCACATGTTACCTTATTTCTTTTTTTTTTCTTTTTTTGAATTGGATTCTCCTTTTGTCACCCAGACTGGAGTGCAGTGACTGCTCCCTGCCACTGCAGCCTCGACCTGCTGGGCTCCAGCCATCCTTCCACCTCAGCCTTCCAAGTAGCTGGAACTACAGGCATGAGCTACCACGCTTGGCTAATTTTGGATTTATTGTAGAGATGAGGTCTTTTCAAGTTGCCCAGGCAGGTCTCGAACCCATGGGCTCAGGCAATCCACTCACCTCGGCCTCCCAAAGTGCTGGGATTACAGGCTGAGCCACCGAGCCCGGCCACCTTGTTTGTTAATAACTCATAATTTTCTTTCTTTTGGTATGAAGCTTAGGACTTGGTCATATATAGATACACACACATACATATGCATATGTTTGTGTAGGTGGGTGTTTAACGTGGATTCTTTTCACAGAAATTACATAACCATACTTACTACATATAATGTAATGATTTGAAATGTTTGTACCTTTCAAAATAATGAATACAATCAAGTTAATGAATATATCTATCACCTCACATAGTTACCCTTTGTTTTTGTAATGAGAACACAATGTCCACTATTTTAGCAAAATTTTTAAGTGTGCAATACATTATAATTAACTGTATTCACAAGATTACACATTAGATACCTAAAACTCTACCTCGTAACTGAAATTTTTACGTTTTGAAGATCTCCCATTTTCCCTACCTGCAGGCCTAGGTCCCACCATTGTACTTTCTGCTTTTATGAGTACAACCTTTTTGATTTCAGGCATGAGATCAGGCATTATTTGTCTTTATGTGCCTGGCTTATTTCACTTAGCATGATGTCTTATTTTTGCTTTTGTTGTTGAATTCTCACTCTGACGCCCAGGTTGCGGTGCAGTGGCATACTCACGGCCATCCCAGCATAGATTTGCTAACCTCCGGCGATCCTTCTGCCTCCGCCTTCCAAGTAGCCAGAAATTACAGGTGTGTGTTACCACACCTGGATAATTTTTTTTTTTTTTTAATTTACTGTAGAGATGAGGTCTCACCAATTTGTCCAGGCTGGTCTTGAACCTGTGGGCTCAGGCAATCCACACACCTCGTCCTCCCAAAGTGCTGGGATTACGGACTGAGCCACTGAGCCCAGTCAGCATAATGTTTTTCAGTTTCATTTATGATGTTGAAATGGCAGGACTCTATGATTTTTTTTTAATGACTGAATAATATTCTAAAGTGTATATTTTCATAATCCATTCAGCATCCACAAACATATTGTTTTCATAGCTTACCCATTGTGATAAATGCTGCAGTAGACATAGGAGTGTAGATCCTTTTTTGAGACACTAATTTTATTTATTTTGGTTATTCATACAGTAAGGGGATTACTGAATCATAAAGTAGTTTATTTTTTATTTTTAATAGAATGCTCGTAATGTTTTTTTAATGACTCTGCCAATTAATTAATTAATTAATTAATTAATTTATTTATTTGAGTTGGAGTCTCACTCGGTTGCCCAAACTGGAGTGCAGTGGCTGCTCCCAGTCACCGCAGCCTCGACCTGCTGGGCTCCGGCGATCCTTCCGTCTCAGCCTTCCAAGTAGCTGGAACTACAGGCGCGCGCTACCACACTCGGCTGATTTTTTGATTTACTGTAGAGATGAGGTCTCGCTGCTCAGGTGGGTCTCGAACCCGCGGGCTCAGGCAATCCACTCACCTCAGCCTCCCAAAGGCGCGGGATTACAGGCTGAGCCACTGAGCCTGGCAGACTCTGCCAATTTAAAACTCATCAACAGTGTACAGGATTTCTTTTTCTTCACATCCTTGTCAACACTTATCTCTCTTGTTGACATTAACCATCCTAACAGGTGCAAAATGATTTCTCATTATTGCATTGATTTGTGATTGGTTTTGTTGAGCACCATTTCATATATCTGTTGACAGTTTGTATGTCCTCACTGGAAAAATAACTATTCATTATTTGTCTGTTTTCAGTCAAGTGATTATCATTTAACTGTTTTTGTCTTTGATTTGTGTGAGTTGCGCATATATGTTAGATGTTAACCTGTTATGAGATACACGATTTGCAAATAGTTTCTTTTATCCTGTAAACCTTCTTACTGTTTTCTGTCTTTGTCTCTTTTTCTTGAGTTGGAGTCTCACTGTGTCGCTCAGGCTGGCATGTGGTGGCATACTTATGGCCACTGCAATCTCATCTACTAGGCTCAGGTGATTCTTTCACTTCAGCCTCCACACAAGTAACTGGAACTATGGACATGTGTTATCATGCTTGGCTAATTTATTTATTTATTTATTTATTTATTTATTTATTTATTTATTTATTTATAAAATTTTTTTTTTTTTTTAGTTGGAGTCTCACTCTGTCACCCAGACTGGAGTGCAGTGGCCGCTCCCGACCTGCTGGGCTCTGGCAATCCTTCCGCCTCAGCCTTCCAAGTAGCCGGAATTACAGGCGCGCGCTACCACGCCCGGCTGATTTTTTGATTTATTGTAGAGATGAGGTCTCGCTGCCCAGGCGGGTCTCGAACCCGTGGTCTCAGGCAATCCACTCACCTCAGCCTCCCAAAGGCGCGGGATTACAGGCTGAGCCACCGAGCCCGGCTTTTTTATTTATTGTAGAGACGAGGTCTTGCCATGTTGCCAGGGCTGGTCTCAAACCTATGGATGCAAGCAACCCTCTCGCCTCAGCCTCCCAAAGTGCTGGGATTACAGGCATGAGCCACTCCACCAGGCCTCTTGTTTTCTTCACTGTGTAGAAACGTTTTAGTTTCATGCAGTCCAACTTGTTTATGCTGGCTTTTGTTACTGTATTTCTGGTGTCGTATCAACAATATCATTGCCATGACCAATATCAAGGAGGTTTTCTAAATCTTTTCTTGCAATATACTTTCTTTTCTGAGTTGGGGTCTCTTCTGTTACCCATGGTTGAGTGCGGTGGTACAATCAACGTTCACCATAGCCTTGAGCTTCTGGGCTCAGGTGACCATTCCAAGCTCAGTCTCCTTAGTATCTGGAATTACAGACTGGTGTCACCAGATGTGAGAGTGTGTGTGTGTGTGTGTGTGTGTGTGTGTGTGTGTGTGTGTGTGTGTGTATAAAGAAGGTCTCACTGTACTGTATTGTCTAGGCTGATCCTGGGCTCAGGCGATCCTCCTGTCTTGGCCTTCCAAATTTTTGGGATTATAGGCTTGAGGTTGAACATCTGACTGATACTGTCTTATTTAAGATAACGTAATATCTACAAAATTTATCCTTACTGTAACACATGACAAGATTTCTTGTCAAGGGTAAATAATATTCTTTTGTATGTATATATGCCACATCTTCTCTATCCATTCATTCATTGAGGGACATTTAGGTTGCTTCAACACTTTGGCATTTGTGAATAATGCTGCAGTAAACATGGGTATGCAGCTATCTCTCTCGGGATCTGCTTTGCATACTTTGGATAAATACCCAGAAGTGGGATTGCCATGTCATATGTCATAGAATACATTTATTTTTTAATAAAAATTCATATTACTTTTCATAGAGCTTACATCATTTGTTTCCCTAGGAACAGCGTACAATTTCTCCATATCCTTGACAACATTTGTTATTTTGTTTGTTTAATAGTGGCCATACTAACGGGTGTGAGGTTGTATGTTATTGTGCCTTTGCTTTTGCATTTCTCTAATTTTTATTTATTTATTTTTTCTGAGTCGGAGTCTCACTCTGTCGCCCAGACTGGAGTGCAGTGGCCGCTCCCGGCCACCGCAGCCTCGACCTGCTGGGCTCCGGCAATCCTTCAACCTCAGCCTTCCAAGTAGCTGGAACCACAGGCGTGTGCTACCATGCCCAACTTATTTTTTGATTTATTGTAGAGATGAGGTCTTGCCAAGTTGCCCAGGTGGGTCTCGAACCCATAGGCTCAGGCAATCCACTCACCTCAGCCTCCCAAAACATGGGATTACAGGCTGAGCCACCGAGCCCGGTTCATTTCTCTCATTTTGAACATCTTTTGAAACAATTAT